AACTCGAATAGTCGAGTGTGCTCATGAGATTTCTGCGATCGACAGCGATACCAGAAAGTCTCATGAGTTGAGGGCACAAGGCAGGAGGGAGAAGGTCGATATAGATAAAATCATCCGTAGCGGCCGTGATACAGGGCGTGTCACTAAAATTGTGGCAAAAATGGTTTGGGTGATGTTCTAGTCTAAACGCTGGCAGAACTTCAAGAACCATTTCAGCCCCCCTTTAACACTCAACTAAGTTGAATAAAAAAAGGTAGACTAGGTATCGAATAGACAAACTACTCAGCACGCACCAGACCGGGAAGTCCTGTTTAACGGAAGTGAGTACCTTCACTCCTAGTCTGGAAAAGCGTCCTCACTCGAGTCGCTCGGGACCGCGAACTCGAAAAATACAACCACAATACTAGTGAAACATTGCGGAATGTGTGTGTGTGTTGTCTCTTTTGTTGCAGTGTGTCTGTGTTCGCGCTGTAAAAGTACATCTATGATTATAATCCAACTCGGACCAAAACAAGCGTTAGTAAAACTAAGTACATAACAGATTCATCCAAGTGCAGTAATTTTCCCAGGCTATTCGACCCGTCTGATTTGCGCACATAGGGCGTGGTGCTTAAGAATTAGTTGTCCAGCTCTAAATAGTTACGAAGTATTGATAGGCTCGATAGGCTCCTCCCAACGCTTCAGATACCCTTAATATCCATCTGTATTTTGTCTTTTGGCAGTGATATTGAGCTCACCGATTCACGCTTGTGATGCTTTTGTATATAAACACATGGCAAAGCTCTGCCGCAACATCTTTGTTATAAACGAATAATTGTTTCAGCTACGTTTGGTGCACTTGGTTGATGTATGATCCATCCCAATGGCAGATGAAACAGATGTCAGGCTCGTGTGTGCTGACAAGGCACCGCGCCAGCCGCAAACACTTCTAAGGCATATGTACCGATGGTGTCATTTGTTTAGGGAGGATAAAATTTCGACAATGTCTTCTTACATTCAGACCATTCAGACGACTCTCTCTGTATCAGCTGTGCGCCTTCTTTATTGCCACGACTCTTAAAGTCTTTTATGTGCCCGTTCTAAGCTTGGTTAATGAGTTGAAAAATGAATGAGAGTGTGAGCACGTGAAAAATGCTAGCGCTGTTAACTAGAGAGAAAAACTACAAACTCAGCTCAATGAAACTGATTTACGTTGTGCCTATCTGACGTAGTTGCGTGTTTCAGCCATGGTCAACACGTCACTGCCTAACCCTCAGTTTTTTTTTGACACCAGGTTTTCTTTGTTTCTTGAAATTGATAGTCGTTGCCTACTAAAATAACTCACCTGCTCCTGCTTTTCCTTCACTTTTCGCCACGACTGCGCAGTGACGTGTTGTAAGGAGAAACGTGTAATTATATGAACACTTGTTTCTGAAAAGCTCAGAATCATATAAATATTAAGGTTATCGGCCAGTAAATTACAGCCTAAAAATTGCTCATTTACCTAAATATATGAAACAAAAGAGGCACCACGCACTTTAAGCAATAGAGGACCTACTCAAACAACTGAAGGCCATTGCACGTCGCATGACTCGAAGGATTCATCATCTTCGTGAAGTTCCTGTCGGTCCTCCTGAGAGGAGAATTTCACCTATTTTTTTTCGAACCAAAAAATTTGTCGGCATTACGAAATACGATTACTCCGCGTGATTACTTGCAAACACAGTAGGATTAGCGAGCTATGTTATTACACATTGATATGTGTGTTGTTGCACTTTTATTCCGGTTTGGGAAGCTCAAAGTTGAAGTGCACTGGTAATTTGTGATTGCCTTTAGTTTTTGCGAAAGCTGCCATTCAATAATAAAATATTGAAAATCAGAAATCGAATATGCGAATTCATTCGATTGTCATATAGATAGGCAATTTTGTATGTATTTTTGCGTAATTGTTTCTCAAATAAATAATGGTATGAATTAGACCAGCGAGTGTACATGGTGTGTTCAGTTATTTCTTCAGGTTTTAATGTCTAAATTTAGGTCATTAGGTTATTCAGGGGACGCCATAATGACAGCCACTTGAACCACAAATTATTATGAGGCACCAATTGTTTAAACATAGGGGTCGAGCGCAAAAAGACGAGGCACAAGAAATAACAGAGAAGATAGAACGCTCACCACCACCTCATTTTATTACGAAATATTTGTAGAAAAAGCACAGATCATCATACGTCACAACCGCGGCTGCGCACATCACCAAGCTGCTGAAAGTTTACTGTGTGGTAGGGGTATAGTTTATAAATTGCTATTGCCCCGCTGTGGTGGTCTAGTGGCTAAGGTACTCGGTTGCTGACCCGCATGTCACGGGATGGAATCCCGGCTGTTGCGGCTGCATTTGCGATGGAGGCTGAAATGTTGTAGGCCCGTGTGTTCAGATTTGGGTGCAGGTTAAAGAACCCCATGTGGTCAAAACTTCTGGAGCCCTCCACTACGGTGTCTCTCATATTCATATGGTGGTTTCGGGACGTTAAACTCCACGTATGAATAAATTACGAATTGCCATTAAGCTATGGCTAATCATGCATCGGGAAACGTGGCTGATGTCACAACTAGTGGGCCCGGGAGCATGAGTTGACGCTCATGAACGATAAGGGCGCGCATCTTTCTGTGCACTGCGTGGTGTGCGAATGTGTGCCTTTGTTTGATAAATTGAACGTCCTAGAATGCAGAAGGGAAACGGCCGCTCGTGAACTGTTAAAGGCATTTTATAATAAATTGAAGGGCGAAGTTCTCGCTATAGCCAGACGTCAGCGCGTTTGTGGGAGTGCGATTACAGTTACAATTACCATAGTATGTTATAATATCTTATATGAACAGCTTTGTGATGTGCGCAACCACGGTTTTGATGTATGATCTCCATTTTTTGTACAGTTCTTTCGCAATTAAATCAGTTGGTAGTGAGCGTTCTATTATGTGTTTACTTTCTGGTGCCTCGTCGTTTTTTGCGCTAGACCTTCGTGTGTAGACATACGCCAACTCACTCGGCAACGCACCTTGCTGTGTGCCTCGTGTTGCCTACGAGGCCAGTAATCGGGGTAAAACATTTGGTTGGATGTTATTCAGAGTACGCCATAGATGACTCGTCAGCGTTGGTGGCGTCAACGCGAGTGGAAAGATGTGATGGCGCCAATAAAACGTCGCGTAGCGAAACTATACATGATGCTGTCAAAACTTCACTGAGTGGGATCTACAGGGGCGACGTGATACCGGAAGTGCTGCGATACGATGGCAGGAACAGCGATGTTTAGTGTGTAAAAGATCACTTCTATAGAGTTAAAAGAAAAAGCAGCAGCTTTAAATGTCATAATAATGGCTTTTTTGATAGCGATATACGACAAAACTTGCAGCCCAGAAGGAAGGGCATGAACGAGAAATGGTATAGAGGATTTAAAAATTTTGAAGGGCTGACAACTGAGCAAGTTGGGCGCCACCTGGTAAGAAGAATGCACGCAAAAAAGGGGAACATGAAACGCAAGTGCCTACACTCAAATGAACTTTTGTTCAAAAGCACAGACAATCAATTTGAACTCACGCGATGTTTCAGACGAATAAAAGACCCGTAAATGAACGTATGAAAACGAGTGTGAGCAACGAAGGAAAATAAATAAAACAACATCTTTTCTCATTCAAGTTTATTTTTTTTTATTTTGTAAGGCTACAGACGGGAAGCTGATGCATGATTATTTTCGCTTTTGTTTGTGCGAAGCCTTGACACTTTCTCGAGTGTTCGGGTTATGATGTCACGGCACTATTCTGGTATCTCTGAACTCGAGTTCACATCCACAATTCTGACTCTGCGTAGCCGTATGCAATAGGTCATCGTTAAGTACACCTGAATCCTGCTCTTTTATCATAACAGCTTCCTGTCTGGGCTATGTAGGAATGGCCTCATGACAGGGGGATTCTGTAAACAGCACCCGAGGCACACTCAGTTGCTTCTGATCTGTGATTAAGACCACAACCTTCACTATTCTTTTTTTTTCATTTCTACTACTTTGCATACACGATGGCAAATTTCTGGTAATTTTCGAGCAACAAAAAAAACCTCATAGATGCTGTTTTCGTGAATTAAATTTTTTTAACCCATGCGTTCTAGCCCAAAACAAGCAAAGCGCCAGGGTGCTAGGCACTGCAAGATTGTTGGCCTGAGAAAAGATATGTCTGACTGTTTGTATGCGTAAACTTTATGGATGTATTTTGGTTCTAAAGTGAAGATTAGTAACAACAAATTTAGGGCAAGTATTGCATAGGCAGCATTGGCTGTGAATAAAATGAAGCGAACACTTAACTGTTTCATATGTGCATTGGCTGGGCAAGGTGACGTGTAGTTATTCAAATGCGCTGATTACGAGAACGAGGTGCCAGACTAAGTGGTAGACTTCAAAGTTATCGACGTGGTTTCAGTTGTATTTGTTATCGCTAAGGTTTTTTTAGACCAAGAATCACTTGCGAAATTAGAAACTTTGAGCCATCTTTCAAATAAAGTGATAAAAAGCGTATAGGTTAAAAAAAAAACTCCTGTTGCCGTATCTTTGTTCCCCTAAGATGACTCGAAGTTTGCAGCCCTCTTATTCGATGTATTGATGCTGCCCCGCCACCCTTCGAAAGCTGTCTGCCCCTAAAATGGTTTTGCGTGGCCTTCGAAACAGGAGGCCTTTTCATTGGCTTTTTATCACCTCCGTAATCGGACTACGTTTTACCAAGCTACGATGTCAAGTTACGATGTCTTGTGCCGACAATATAATATGACGTTACATCTTCTGATGTCAAAATAAGTGCACAAAGTGGAAAATCAGTGACCTTATTAGGGCGTCATTTGGTGAAATCGTCATGTGACTACTTTTCTCATCACTCGTCAGTGGTGCCCTGGTACGCCAAGACCACTGAACGCCGACGAGAAAGCTTTCCGCTCAGAGAGTCGTTTAAAACTTTAATTATAGAAATTAGAACTCGCAAGCACTTACCCTTGTCGACAGACGTGAATATTTTCACGTCTATCCCTGATTTAACGAGTGGTGCAAATGAGGCATTGAAATTCATCCTAAGAAAATAACAAAAGGAAACAGTCGCCTTACACTTGTACCAATCATCGCGTTTTTGTTTTGCAGCCCCAAATTCGCTACAAAAAATAAGGTCAGCAATACCTGCGGACAAGCAAATAGGTGTGCGTTACACAACACAAAGCAAAATAAACCTCAGTTTCCGACTACGGGATAGCATAAACTAATTCTGCGAAGCAACCAAACTTTTATTCAATTGCAATTGTCGATTTTGTGTTCATAAGTATTTTTTCACTGACTGAATTAAGTAAATAACAATTGTGAAAGATCAAAATGAGTCCCCAAAAGTGGTACTGCTTAAAGCAGCACATGTTACGTTCACATGCACAAGAAGTTTCTAAATATTTGCCAGTGTACGCCACATGGGTGAATAAACTTTGTTTTATATGTTTTCCTAAACATAGGTTCAATTTCATCACGGGATTGCTAAAAAGGCGGCTGAGTGAATTTTCAGCTACGCGGTCTTAGGTTTTCATGTTTTTAATACTTTGAGCAACTTTACATTTTTTTTCAACATCTAAATATTGCTTTATTTCTCATTCTTTTTCGAAGTATTTTTTCTGCATTTACTTTTCGTTATTTCCCTCTTTATCTCTATTTTTGTTGTTTTTTTGTTTCTTTCACCCTCCTCATTCATTTCTTTTTCTTTCTCTATTTCTTTCTCTGTCGCTTGCTTCAGCATTTTTTTTCTATATCTAGCAAAATATATTGTTTCCTTTTTCATTGGTTCTTTCGATTTCTCTTTTTTTCATATTTGTGCATTTTACTGTCTATTTCTCACGTTCAGCGCCCCCCCCCCCCCTCGCACAGTATTCTAACACTAAGCCACGCCGGTGCTCTCTGTCTATTTTTCCCTTTTACGTTGTTTCTATGCAGTGCTACACTTGCTCCTTACCTCCTTTCCATCCAGCTCGCCATCACATATTTCGACTTGCCGCTCACTTCGATTTCCCGCGTCCTTGCTCCACAACCATTCAAAACGCCATGCTATACTCTACTAGCATAGCTGGATAGCGCGATTTCTTGGAACGCTTGCGCACAGATCGAGTGCACACCGGTTCGAATTCCACAGTGATTCCCGCGTCAGTATAATATTTATAACATTTATAACATTTATACTCTCATTCGCATCGGAAGATTTTTGTAAGAACGTTTACAATGCGCTGTAATAACACATATTAAGGAAATATACTTAATTGTCATAGCTCACTCTTGGTGGTCGTCGCCCCACTTGACCAGCACGTCGTAAGTTAAAGTGTTGCTACTTTTATCATCCTTTAATATTTTGGCACGGACGCAGGTTACATTCAAGGACTTGCTGCTTGAGTACAGATAAATGGTTCTATTTGTCATAAATTAAAAGTTGAAAAAAAGAACAACATAACGTAACTCATTCACTCTTTATGCACCAGCTTTCTCCACGCACTTTTTGTCAACACATGCAACTGAGAAGTGCTAAAAAGTTTAGGAAAAATAACATTCCTGATTTTTTTAAATTCACAATCACCAAAGTGAACAGTAGCCCGACACAAGGGGCGGCATCTTAAATGCTAGCTAATATAGATAGTTGCGCTGGATTGCAGAGAGTCATGACAGATGCGAATTTCATGCTGATATGTTTGTTTCTAAATATCTTAGATTATCATCACTCAATCAATCAAATAACAATCGTAAATGACTTTATCTGCAGACCAATCGATACTTAAAATAAAAACTACCCTATAAAAGGTGTTTATACTTCTGGTATCACAAACACTTTATTATGATCAGCAATTATTATTAAGTGCTTGGTTTTCGTTTTTTGGGTTAGCCAGAAGTTTTGTCGAAAAAAAGTGACAAGCTAGTTCGTGCTCTTTTCCTAACTAAAAATAACGCATTACTTGTTTGTATGGCTGTCTGCCTGAAAAACGATGGGATAGCGTGAGTGGGTAATATAATTGGGACAGTTATCTTCGGCCGAGTTCAAGGCAGTAGATTAGTCAGTTTAGTTCTGATCCCAAGCGATATTTGCAGATGCTACGTTTCCTGAGTTCACTGCAATGTAGTCAGGATGATCTGTAACAGTGAAGAACTTGCCTCAAGCAGAACTGATTAGTGAGTCTGATCTTAAATGTAGCCGTAAATACACCTTAAAAAATTTACTCCCTAAAACGTGTGAAACGGGTGTACACAATAAAAGCACCCATATGAACACCCATTTCACGCCCCATCTTTGGAATTTGAGGTGTTCCTTATAAAACACCCTCAAAACACCCCATTTACACCTTTATATTTAAGGTGTAAACAACAAGGCTACAAATAATTGATTGATTTGTAGGGTTTAACCACCCAAAACCACCATACGATTATGAGAGACGCTGTAGTGGAGGGCGCCGGAAATTTCGACCACCAGGGGTTCTTTAACGTGCACCCAAATCTGAGCACACGTGCCTACAAGGCTACAAATGCACGACATTTTCGGGCCGTTTTGCTTATACTGTTAGTATACGTTAAACATCTTAATACAAGCAAGGCTCCCACTACTAGCTGCTTGCGAGTGTAGTAATAAATCGAAGCAGAAAGTAATGTGAGCGAAACGCAGTTTTCATCGATAAAGCACGCTAACTACAATAAGATGGAAGATACAATAGGGGCGACGCTTGTTCAATAAAGTAAGGGCCAATTCTCCTGTACCTGTTTCTTTCATCTGTCTCATTTGCGTGATTAGTCAACACTCACAAAGTACACTGATTTGCCTGAACAAGGTAATGTTGCGCATATTGGTGTAGCCATGCATAGAACACTACCCCCTCCCCCCGTCCCCCATAAGATCAAAGCTTTTAAAGCTGAAGATAAAACATCCGCCACCTGCAAAATACAACAACAACAGCACAGTTGCTTAGCCATAACCACCACGTCAGCAGGCCATCAGGTCCCTTAAAAACGAACATTGACGTCATGTATGTTTAGAAGGCACGTTTCATTTAATTACTGTAGCGAATGTTCCTCTTCATATGTACTTAAGAGTGCGTCATGGAAATTAGGAAGAGGACACCGACCATAAAGAAAAATGCAGAATAAGAACATTTCGGTGACCTTGACGCAGCCTCGCTCACAATGACGGAAGCCTTGTGGACTAAATTGCGAACAAAGCTCTCCTCAGGAGAGCCGAAACTCATTCTCAAGTTCATCTCTCTCTCTCTCACTCTCTCTTCATTTTTTGTTGATCCTCTTCTTTTAATTTATGTAACTTCCCCCGCAGACGTGCTTCGGTCAAAGCCTTGGCTTTGTGGGTAGTGAGAAAACAGCATTGATGAAATATTCTCAGCTGTGGTCTTGTTCCAAGGACTGCGAGCTAAGTACAAATGTATTGCCGCAACGTGAAGACAGAAGTAGTAATTAACAGGTTGAGAAAGTAGCAGCAGGTCAGTATTTTTATTTACTGCGTGCCAGAGCGTTCCTCTTCTTTCTTGTTATTGCTTGCTGCATAAAAGCGAGCAGATGCGCGTATGCGCTGTCGTCTTCGTCTTCCTTGCACTACGCACGTGGCAAAATGTTCTCATCAAATAGTGTGACGGCCGATGCATGCAATGTTGCAATGTCTTTACCGAAATAAAGGTGCCGATAAAATATCGCCTGCGTGACCTTGAATGTGCAGTCCCTAAAGACCCATAGAGCTAAGCAAAAAGCATCAGCTGAGCTTTTTTTTTACCAAAATTCACTACATTAGGTCGGTGAAGGTGCGCTAAACATTGCTCCTCAATATTACAAATGCGCGTTCTGACTAGTAGCTCGTGCTGGCTGCACTGCACCTTCACAAAGTTCACTGCGAGTCAGATGCACAGTTAAAGAACGAGTATAACGCAACAGATCGCTGCAGCAAAAAAAAAAAAGAGCAGCGCCCGCGCTATCAGCAGAGGGCCGGAGCTAGCGTTAAACTGCATCTAGCCGGTCTGAGAGGGCCACAAGGCGCAATCAAGTCACGTCGCCTAGACAACCTTGGCTGCCCGGTATTGCTGCGCGCAGGGCGCACAGCGCGGGAAAGGGGTCGGCATCGTCTTACTTGTCACTGCGTGCGCTGGCGAAAAACCCTCCCGTGTGTGTGCGTGTGGTGCGCGTGGCTTCTCGATTGGTAGAGTTTATTATTCGGTGTTTAGTTTGAACTCTGTGCTCCACCAGTGTGTTCTGTCAGTGCTGATTATTACGAAGGTGCACCATCCTGAAGACTGGACCTGTGGATTCATATTGTGGAGCACTCGAAGTAAAATAGTGAGTACCACTCTCACGTTGATCCGTTCAGCGCTTTGTTAACTGCATGAGCACGAGAATAACGGCTTCAAACAATTTTGTTTTCAACTAGTTGATGACAAATCAGCATTTGTTTACTTAGCGAGAATATTTGTCCGAACTGTTTCACGGGGATGATGGCGAAGTGTGATTGTGGGCAAGTTTTTTTTTGTTTCTTTGTTTAGATCGTTTGGAGTACAAAGCAGAGTGAGCGTGCGCCGCTGAGGTTGAGTGAAGAAATTGAACAGATTTTTGCGGTGCCCTTTGTTGGAAGCCGTTTTTAACGGGGCCCGCTCGTGCTGTACATCAATTTAAGTTTACTAATTAATACATGTGTGGGGACGGCGCCTCCCCACACATGTATTACACAAAGCTCGAAGCATCACACACACAGCTCGAAGCATCAACCGTATGTCAGACGCATATGCTTGGACATGTCGGTAGTTCATTCACTATCTTTTTTTTTCTTATTGCACAAAAAGACCGATAACGGAAAACAAGGGTGTGGTGTCCATGTCGTTCTTTTCGGTTCTTTTTCGTTTTGTGCGGTAACACTACCGTGATAACTCGGGTTGATGCAAGGGTGACAACACAGCATATTGTTTCGCGTTAGGTGCGCCTCGCGAAATTTGCCTACTTCCTAATACATTCAATTTAATTAAACTTGTCTTCACCGGTATTTTCGTTCCCCCGCAACGCAGCGTGACACTGCCGACAGCCGTGCCTATATAGCGGATCGAGCACTGAAGCTGGACTTTTGAACAGACCTTTAGTTTGTGTGTATGGTCGAATTGCCTACTTGAACAGCGCAAACGCTTGTTTGAACATAACTGCTAACGTTCGAGCACATTTTATTCAGATTGTTTCCATCATGTGTAACTTTCAAAATATTCTTGTTATTCGGAGCTTTATTGCCATCGCCTCGCTTTGGCGTTTAACTTCGCTAAGTACTTCAGATGTTAAAGGTGTTTTCGCTATGTGAAGCGTATTCTTAGTTTTTTGTTGTACAAAAACACTTTGATGTTATACATACTGCACGGTATCTAAGCATGTGTTGCAGCCAAAATGTAAGTCTGGGCAGCATATCTATCTGGAAACACAACGCGCACAGCCACAGAACAGCCTACGCTGCATCGGGAAGGAGTTATGCTTTCTCACCCTGACAGCATGATTGAAACTAATGGCCCTAATTTAGCAGTATGCAATGGTCATTGAGTGGTGGTTACAGGGTCACTTTATTCGACATTTTCCAGCCAATTTTGCGGCTAAGGAAAATGTGTTTGAAACAAAAATCGTGCTGATTTAATGCATTTAAAACGGTGAACTGCTTGAATATTTCGGAGAGAAAAACTTTTTGTTCACGTGGTTGCCTTTCAAACTTTTCAGACTGTTGTTTGAGTGTTGTTTGGGAAAAAAATATTTTACATTGACCACACCGCATTTTATACCAATTTTGGTACATGTTAAGTAAAAGAGCTTATGTAAGATGTTTGAAACTCAGCAATATTATACAAAATTTTGGCCACAAACGTCAGCAAAAATTTAGCCTAAGTGTGTTATGTTTGCATTTTCTCATTGCTATACTGCACTTTGTATGAATATCTGAACTGTGACTACTTACTTCACTAAAAAGATATTTTGATGAAAAAATATTTTAAACATCTTAAGCTGTTATCCTCTACGAAAAAAGATCACTCATTTCACAGAATTGTCATTTTTGTCCCTATTGAGACGCAATTTGCACCATGAGGTAGTCCAATTAAAAATCACCTTCTACCTAAATTGAAAGCAAATACAATTGTTTGTACGTGACAAGTTTTATTACAAGTTCTATTTCAAGGAATAAAATATTTTCGAAATTTTCCCACCAACGGCAATAGGGAACTTCGAGCCGTCGGCTGCAGTATGACCAAATGGCGAATGGGAAACTTGGAACTTCAAAAATCATTTAGGGGCAAAGCTCTTGAGGCCGTGGGTCATTCCCTCCTCTGTAGTCATACCAGTAATATGTAGCCACTTGATGAGTTGCACAATAGATAGCGTTAGTGGTTTTCACAGCATATTCACGGAAAAAATGAAGATTCG